TGTAACTCTGATTTTCAAATAAATAAATAAATCTTTTTTTTTTTTTTTTGGACAGGCAGAGTGGACAGTGAGAGAGAGAGACAGAGAGAAAGGTCTTCCTTGGCCGTTGGTTCACCCTCCAATGGCCACCGCGGCTGGTGCGCTGCAGCCGGCGCACCGCGCTGATCCGAAGCCAGGAGCCAGGTGCTTCTCCTGGTCTCCCATGGGGTGCAGGGCCCAAGCACTTGGGCCATCCTCCACTGCATTCCCGGGCCACAGCAGAGAGCTGGCCTGGAAGAGGGGCAACCGGGACAGAATCCGGCGCCCCAACTGGGACTAGAACCCGGTGTGCCGGCGCTGCAAGGTGGAGGATTAGCGGATTAGCTTAGTGAGCCGCGGCGCCGGCAAATAAATGAATCTTTAAAAAAAATTATACTAAGGGGATTGGCGCTGTGGTGTAGTAGGTCAAGTCTCCGCCTGCAGTGCCAGCATCCCATATGGGTGCTGGTTCATGTCCCAGCTGCTCTTTTCCAGTCCAGCTCTCTGCTGTGACCTGGGAAAGCAGTGGAAGATGGCCCAAATCCTTGGGCCCTGCACCCACGTGGGAGACCAAGAAGAAGCTCCTGGCTCCTGGCTTCAGATCAGCCCACCTCCGGCTGTGCAGTCATTTGGGGAGTGAACCAGTAGATGGAAGACCTCTCTGTCTCTCTCTGTGTAACTCTGCTTCTCAATAAAAATCTTTTTAAAAACATTACACTAGGCCAAAAAAGCCAATCATAAAGTACCATCAGCAGTATGATTCCATTTATATAAAATGTCCAGAATAGGCAAATTTTTAGAGATAAAAAGTAAATTAATGCTTGTCTAAGATTGGGGGATGGGACAGGAGTGGAGGGCAGGCCATGGGGTACAAACCCCCTTTTAGGGTGATAAAAATGTTCTAAACTTGATTGTGGCGACAAATGCACAACTCTATGAATATACCAAAAATCATTGAACTGAATACTTTTTTTTTTTTTTTGACAGGCAGAGTTAGTGAGAGAGAGAGACAGACAGACAGAAAGGTCTTCCTTCCATTGGTTCACCCCCTCAAATGGCTGTTACGGCCGGCACGCTGCGCCGATCCTAAGCCAGGAGCCAGGTGCTTCTTCCTGGTCTCCCATGTAGGTGCAGCACTTAAACCATCCTCTACTGCACTCCCTGGCCACAGCAGAGAGCTGGACTGAAAGAGGAGCAACCGGGACAGAATCTGGCGCCCCGACCGGGACTAGAACCCAGGGTGCCAGCGCCGCAAGCAGAGGATTAGCCTAGTGAGCTGCGGTGCCAGCCTTTTTTTTTTTTTTTTTTAAAGATTTATTTTAGTTATTTGAAAGACAGAGTTACAGAAAGAAGTAGAGACACAGAGAGAGAGGTCTTCCATCCACTGGTTCACTCATCAGATGGCTGTAACAGCCAGAGCTGCACCAATTCCAAGCCAGGAGCCAGGAGCTTCTTCCAAGTCTCCCATGTGGGTGCAGGGACCCAAGAACTTGGGCCATCTTCCACTGCTTTCCCAGGCCATAGTAGAGAGCTGGATCAGAAGAGAAGCAGCCGGATCTTGAACTGGCACCCATATGGTTAAAGCCAGGGCTTTAACCCGCTGCACCACAGTGCCAGCCCCGGACTGTATACTTTCAATGGATGAACTGGGTGTGCATTATATCCCACCTCTTTTTTTTTTTTTAATAGGCAAAAGTAATCTATGTTGATGGAAGTCAGAATAGTGCTTTTTGGGGAGAGAGAAACAATTTACTGGGAAGACATTTGGAAACAAGTAATAGATGTCCTATGCCTAATATTATTAGCGATTACTTAAATGTCCACATAAGTAAAATACTACTGAGCTCTGACTTCTGACTTCAGCTTCCTGAAATTGCAGACCCTGAGAGGCAGCAGTGATGGCTCAAGTAATTGGATTCTTGTTACTCACATGGAAGACCTGGATTGCATTCCTGACTATAATCCCAGCTGCTACAGGCATTTGGAGAATGAAACAGCGGATGGGAACTTTCTCTCAGCCTCTCAAATAAATAAGTTGAATTTTGTAAAAAAAAGGTTAAAAAAAAACTTACTTATATTTACATCTCCTAAAATGCATAAATAAATCCTTTGGCTATTATAGTATGTATGTGTATATACACACACACACACACACACACACACACTTGAATAAAGTAGACATTTATGAAGCAAAATGGTAAGACATGAGAATCTCCTAAGTGCATAACTCCTCTTTGTTCTCCTAAACACTTAGCCCTTCCTTTTACTAGGTAGCAAAGATACCTACTGGATTGGAGAAACCTATCAGAATAGAATTCAAAATGGTTAGAGAGAGAAAGGGCAACAGAGAGCAAGCAAATCAGTTCTGTACAAATAACACCAAGGTTCCAAGAAGAAGAAACATTTTTCAGAGTGCTTATTTGCAGATCTTCACTGGCCTTCCCAGGATGCAGCCTTGATTTTGTTTTGTTTTGAATATGTTTCTTTTGTTTTAGTGACAAAACAATGATCAATATTTTTCCAATATCTGCAGGTTTTAAAGTTTCAGAAAAATTTCAGCATTGGGAATCAAAAATGACAAAAATGGGTGAGGGGGGAAAAGACAGCATTGTGGCACAGCAGGTTAAGTGACCCCTTGTGACTCCAGCATCCCATATCAGAGTGCCAATTTGACTCCCCAGCTGCTTGGTGCCTGGGAAGGCAGCGAAGGATGGCCCAAGTACTTGGGTGCCTGCCACCCATGTGGAAGACCTAGATGGAGGAGCTGGCACCATGGCACAGCGGGTTAACGCCCTGGCCTGAAGTACCGGCATCCCATATGGGCACTGGTTCTAGTCCGGCTGCTCCTCTTCCCATCCAGCTCTCTGTTATGGCCTGAGAAAGCAGTAGAAAATGGCCCAAGTCCTTGGGCCCCTGCACCTGCATGGGAGACTTGGTAGAAGCTTCTGGCTCTTGGCTTGGGATTGGCGCAGCTCCAGCTGTTGTGGCCAACTGGGAAGTAAACCATTGGATGGAAGACCTCTCTCTTTCTCTCTCTCTCTCTCTCTCTCTCTCTCTGCCTCTCCTCTCTCTGTGTAACTCTGACTCTCAAGTAAAAAATAAATAAATCTTAAAAAAAAAAAAAAAAAAAAGGATCTAGATGGAGTTTCTGGCTCCTGGCTTCAGCTTGGCCCAGGTCCAGGCCCAGGCCCAACCCATCAGTTGTGGCCATTTGGGGAGTGAATCAGCAGATGGAAGACCTCTGTCACACTGGTTTTCAAACAAATAAATAAATAGGGGCTGGTGCTGTGACACAGAAGGTTAAGCCTCTGCCTGCAGTTCTGGTATCCCATACTGATGCAGGTTTGAGTCCCATCTGATGGTTCAACTCCACAAATGCTTACAAAAGCTAAGTTGGGCCAGGCCAAAGCCAAGAGCCAGGAACTCAATCTAGTTCTCCCACATGGGTGGCAAGGATGTAACCACTTGAGCCATCACCTGCTGCCTTTCGGAGTGCACACATACTATCTGGAAAATGGAATCAGAAGTGGAGCCAAAACTTGATCCCTGTCCAATATGAAATGTAGACATCTTAAAAACTAGGCCAAATGTTAGCCCCTTGAGTTTTGTGTGTGTGTGTGTATGTGTGTGTTTTTAACAAAAGTAAAGTATAAATGGTAGTTATATGTACTTCATAGGACAATTCTATGGTAAATAAGTTTTAGAAAAAATTCCTGGGGGCCGGCGCCACAGCTCACTTGTCTAATCCTCCGCCTGCGGCACCGGCACCCCAGGTTCTAGTCCCGGTTGGGGTGTTAGATTCTGTCCTGGTTGCTCCTCTTCTGGTCCACCCTCTGCTGTGGCCCAGGAGGGCAGTGGAGGATAGCCCAAGTACTTGGGCCCTGCACCCGAATGGGAGACCAGGAGAAAGCACCTGGCTCCTGGCTTCAGATCAGCGCAGCGTGCCGGCCATAGCAGCCATTTGAGGGGTGAACCAATGGAAGGAAGACCCTTCTCTCTGTTTCTCTCTCTCACTGTCTAACTCTGCCTGTCAATATATATATATAAATATATATATAGATATAAATATATATAAACTACCAGATGAAAGCTACCTCTCAGTCTCTCCCTCCCTCTCTCTGTCCTGCTGCCTTCCAAGTAAATAAATAAATTTTAAAAAAGAAAGAAAAATTCCCTTATACAAATGTAACAAGTGGAACCAAAAGGAAAAAAAAAGCTTTCTTCTAATTTCAAGAACCTTTATATTGATGCTGCCTCACTCTGGTCAAATGGGCCTCACTCTACAAATATTTGTCTTTTGAAAAAAATACTTAATATAAAATAACTTCTAAAGAAATTTGGCAAACCTGAGTATCGCAAGCTACTAAGAAAATTACCAATAAAAAATTTGATGGTACTGCCACTAATGAATGTTCAGAAGTCATAATTTACCATTGTATTTTAAATTCCAGGGGGGTTTAACAATTATTGACATCCAAAAATAACAAGTCCCTGAGTCACAAAGAAAATGCAACATAGGTGGGGTTTGAGACAGACGTTGAAATGCTACTTGGGATAACCGTAGCCTGTATCAGAGCTCCTGATTCAAGTCCCAGCTTTCAATCCAGCTTCCTACTAATGCATGTCGTGGGAGGCAGATGATGGCTCAAGTACTTATGTTTCTGTCACCCACGTGGACAACCTGGTTGGAGTTGTCCTGGCTTCTGGCTTCAGCCTGGCCCAGCCTTGACTATTACAGGCATCTGGGGAGTGAACCAGCAGATGGAAGATTTTATCCATCTGCCTCTCAGCCTATCTCCCTCTCTCTCTTTCAAATAACTAAAAAAAAAAAAAAAAAAAAAAAGGCAAGCAAATCCTGACACCCTGGATACTGTATTACATTGCTCACCATTCTTCATCTCTGATAAGCTGCAGAAAGAAGCGAGAAGGAAGAGAATAAGGAAGGAAAAGGATTCTTTACGAAGAGAGAATAAAGCACTTACACTTCATAGGACTTTCTAGCCACAGATGCCAGGTGCTACCCACTGAAATCCAGGCTTGGACTAAGCTCCACATTTCTGAAAGGGCCATCTCAACCGAAGCCTGGGCTCAGAGTCAGCAGGAGGAAGCTGCAGCTCCCACTAGCAGCACTTTTCAAAGAGGCTGCAACAAGAGAACATTTTCCATATAAGCATCTAATTCCAATCTCCCATTGCACAAAGCATTAGCAGAACAGGCCCTTTACATCAGTCTTTTCAAACAGCATTTCTACACCTCTGTGATGACTGTGAGGCCTAGCAATCCTTTCACAAGCACTCCAAGGCCTTCATTACCCTTCACAGCAGATCCCAAAAGTATCTGCCTTTCTCGTTTTTTCCTTTAATGGTGCATTGTTGTTCCAAGACTAACTTCTACACCAACATTTCTAAAACTGCCAAATCAACCAAAACCACTTGGTAGGCCCCCTCAACAATGCAAGCACTCACCCAGACTGGAGTCAAAGGACTTTTTTGCTGCCAAGAATTAGAAGCAAATTGAGACTGCTAGTTAATCCTACACAAAAACGTTTCAAATTGGGGCCAGCGTCGTGGCATAGCAGGTAAAGCTTTCGCCTGTGACACTGGCAAACCTTTGGGGCCCCTGCTACTCAAGTGGGAGACCCAGATAAAGCTCCTGGCTATGGCCTGGCTTACCCCTGGCCCTCTAAGGAGACGAACCAGCAGATAGAAGATCCGTGTGTGCGTGTGTGTGTGTGTGTGACTCTGTCTCTCCCTCTCTCTTTCTCTATAACTTTTTCAAATAAATAAATAAATTTTTTAAAAATTTAAGGGAGCTGGTGCTGTGGTATAGTAGGTTAAGCTTCTGCCCCTAAGGCTGGCATCCCATATGGGCGCCAGTTTGAGTCATGGCTGCTCCTCTTCTAATCCAGCTCTCTGCTTTGGCCTGGGAAAGCAGTAGAAGATGGTCCAAGTCCTTGGACCCCTGCACCCAGAAGAAGCTCCTGGTTCCTGGCTTCAGATCTGCCCAGCTCTGGCCGTTGCAGCCATTTGGGGAGTGAACCAGAGGATGAAGACCCCTCTCTCTCTGTCTCTCCTTGTTCCTGTAATCTGCCTCTCAAATAAATAAATAAATCTTTAAAAAAATTTTCAAGAAAACGCTTCAAGTTAAGAAGAATTACTTAAAATAATTCCGGGAGGACTTAAGGGCTCTTGCAAATAAAAACTGAGGTTCTGGAAATGAAGATAATTAAATGAGACTTGAAAAGTAATACAGAAGTGTTGCATTGCTACATTTTCTAAGCATTTTAATCAGTGAATGATACACTGATTAAATGAAGACTTTCAAAGATATATAGTAGGAGCTAGTGTTGTGGCACAGTGGGTTAAACAACCACCTGTGTGACCGGTATCCCATATGAACACTGGTTTGAATCCCTGCTGTTCTATGTCTAATCCAGTTCCCTGCTAATGCACCTGGGAAAGCAGCAGAAGATGGCCCAGGTCCTTGGGCCCCTGCACCCCTGTGGGAGACGTGGATAGAGTTCCAGGCTCCTGGCTTCAGCCCCTGTCATTAGAGCCATTCGGGGAGTGAAGATTTCTCTCTCTGTGTCTCTCCCTTTCCATAACTCTGTCTTTCAGATAAGTAAATCTTTGGGGGGAAAAAATGAGAATTAATCATATCATAGAAAATCAACTTTGCTAAAAATTAGAAAGGAAATAAAAAGAAAAATAATAAGCTGAAGAGCAAGTAAGACAACCATCACTACCTAAAAATATTTTTCAGTGTAACTTGTTTTGTAAGATGGCCTGAAATACAGAAGCCATGATGAAAGGAGACTTAGCTAATATCTTCACCACAGCAGTGATGTGGAAACAACTCCTACCTCCCAGGCCTTGTATACACAAATAACTTTTCTAGAAGCAAAAAAGCAGATTTATGTTCTGAAGTTCCATTGCACAGTAAGGTGACTATGGAAAATGTACTGCACACTAGAAGACAGGACTTTCGGATGTTTTCACCATAAAGAAATGCTAAATGTTTTGAGATAAATATATCTACTCTAGACATTATGCAATGTATACATGTAGTAAAATGTCAAAAAGTACCCCATAAATATGTACAATTTTTATATGTGTATTAAAAAGCCTTTTTAGAGGCCAGCACTGTGGCACAGCAGATCAAGCTGCCGCCTGCGATGCTGGCACTCCATATGGACCCAGTTCGAGTCTCCACTGCTCCACTGCCGATCCAGTTCCCTGCTAACGTGCCTGGGAAAGCCACAGAAGATGGCCCAAGTGCTTGGGTTCCTGCACCAATGTCAGAGACCCAGAAGAACTCCTGGCTCCTGGCTTCAGCCTGGCCCAGTCCTCACTGTTGTGGCTATTTAGGGAGTAAACCAGCAGATGGAAGACCGTTCTCTCCCCCTAATTCTGCCTTTCAAATAAATAAAATAAATCCTTTGTAAAAAATTTTTTAAGTTGTTTCAAAAAAATTCATTTATGGAGATAAGTTCAGGCTACTTAAAGGTTCACAGCCATCTCTATAGTAATCAAATTATCAAAAGGAAGAAAATTATCTCACTTGTAGGAGAAAGAAATCCTTAGTGATAATGTTATTTAAAACATCAAAGGCGGGGCTGGCACTGTGGAGCAGGGGGTTAAAGCCCTGGCCTGCAGCACCTGTAGCACTGACCTCCTACCTGGGCACCGGTTCAAGTTCTGGCTGCTCCCCTTCCTATCTTGCTCCCTGCTAATGCCACCTGGGAAAGCAGTAGAAAATGGGCCAAGTCCTTGGGCCCCTGAACCCATGTGGGAGACCTGGAAGAAGCTCCTGGCTCCTGGCTTCAGAAACACCCAGCTCTGGCTGTTGTAGCCATTTGGGGAGTGAACCAGCAGACAGAAGACCTGTCTCTGTCTCTACCTCCCTCTGTAACTCCGTCTTTGAAATAAATAAATCTTAAATTAAAAAAAAAAAAATCACAGCCATTCATATTCTAAGAGAAAATATTCAGTTTCCAAATCAACTTCAGAAGATAGCAGGGCATCACTGTGTCCTGATTTCAAAAGAAATCAGTACAACCAAGTGACAGCACTGCACACGACAATCTCCTCAGTTGTTGAAAAATCCCAGTGTTTCTAGAACAGTGTTTTCAAACAACCATCTCATGATGAATGACCTCTGGCAAATGAATTTGAACTCAACTCTGACCGTGTCAGTCACACATACATTAGTGCTGAGATATCTTGCCCAAATTTTTCTTGAGAAGTGTAAGGAATCAGTTTCCAAATAAAACATTCTCAATCACTTATGTATGTGAATATTAATCTCACGGATGGCCCCTAAGAAAGATAAATTTGGATCTGTACAATCCATTTCAGCTAAGGTTGACTAAAGCTTTCATTCCCTGATAATCACTTCCCTGTGGCCTTACTAGGTACACTAGGAAGCCCTGCTTCAAAATTAGAAACGTCAAGCTTGAAATTATATCATTTGATGCAAATGAAGAAACCACTGAAGGGCTTCCTCCTGAAAGTAAAAAATACTAGGCCGGCGCCGCGGCTCACTAGGCTAATCCTCCGCCTTCTGGCGCCAGCACACCAGATTCTAGTCCGGGTCAGGGCGCCGGATTCTGTCCCGGTTGCCCCTCTTCCAGGCCAGCTCTCTGCTGTGGCCAGGGAGTGCAGTGGAGGATGGCCCAAGTGCTTCGGCTCTGCACCGATGGGAGACCAGGATAAGTACCTGGCTCCTGCCTTCGAATCAGCGCAGTGCGCTGGACGCGGCGGCCATTGGAGGGTGAACCAACGGCAAAGGAAGACCTTTCTCTCTCTCTCTCTCTCTCACTGTCCACTCTGCCTGTCAAAAAAATAAAAATAAAATACTAAAAGTGTATTTCCTTTCATGCCTGCTCTCCACTCCTGCCTTCCTGAGTGAGTTTTAGAACAATTCAAGACAAACTAGATGAGAATTTTACTGTATGTATTAAGCATATGCTAACACATGCTGAAGATACAAATTTTTCAAACTGACAGGAAAAAATGTAAGATGTGAGATTAAAGTGTTATAACACTTTAATGTGAGATTAAAGTATTAAGGAGTTGAATAACAAACTCTGTATACTTACCTTAAAACCCATATTTTTAAAAATTTTTTTCCACTTTTTAAAAATTTTATTTAAGGACTATAACTTCAGGCATTTACTATATACAAATTTGGAAACATGGTGATTCTGGAGGGAGGTAGGAGGGGAAGAATCACCATGTTCCCAAATTTGTTTATATTAAACGTACGAAGTTGTAGTTCTTAAACAAAAACAAAAAACAAAACAAAACAAAAAACAAAACAAAACAAAAAAACCATATTTTCAAATTTAGTTCCAAATATATTCTCTTCCTTTGGGGATAACTTTTTAAGTGGTATTAACTACGGCTGAGACAAGAAAATACAAGGAGGGGCTAGTGCTGTGACGTGGTGAATGAGGCCACCACCTGCAGTGCCAGCATCCCATATGGGTGCCGGTTCAAGTCCCAGCTGCTCCACTTTTGATCCAGATCTCTGCTATGGGAAAGCAGTAGAAGATGGCCCAAGTGCTTGGGCCCCTGCACCCTCATGAGAGACCAGAAAGAAGCACCTGCCTCCTGGCTTCAGATAGGTGCAGCTCCGGCCATTGCAGCCATTTGGGGAGTGAACCAACAGAAGGAAGACCTCTCTCTTGTCTCTCCCTCTGTCTTCCATCTGCAGGTTCACTCCCCAATTGGCCACAACGGCCGGAGTTGTGCCGATCCAAAGCCAAGAGCCAGGAGCTTCTTCCAGGTATCCCACACACATGCAGGGGTCCAAGGACTTGGACCATCTTCTACTGCTTTTCCAGGCCATAGCAGAGAGCTGGATCGAAAGTAGAGCAGCCAGGACTCAAACCAGCGCCCATATGGGATGCCAGCTCTGCAGGTGGCAGCTTTACCCACTTACATCACAACTCTGGCCCCTAAGAAAAACATTAACTCAATCCTTCCCTTTTTTTTTTTTTTTAATTTATTTGACAGGTAGAGTTATAGATACTGAGAGAGAGAGAGACAGAGAGAAAGGTCTTCCTTCCATTGGTTCACTCCCCAAATGGCCCCAACAGCCGGTGCTGCGCCGATCCGAAGGCAGGAGCCAGGTGCTTC